AGGCATTTTTGAAATCTAATTTAAGAAAAACTTTGCCATGATTTTGGACATCAGTTACAAAAGTACGAGCGGCATGAATTGCAGCTTCGCAACCTAATTTAGTTGCAACACCAAGTTGATGAGGTGATAAAAAGGAGTTGACTAAATTACGACTTTGAAAACAAGCAAGTTTGGACGTCAATCTACGAAAACAATTTCCAATGGCAATCGGTCTTATGCCTCCATCCTTCTTATGAAGAGCACATAAAGAAGCACCATAAAATAAATGACAAAAGTCGGGAGGTAGTTGGCCAGATAATAAAAAATTGCAAAATTTAGTTATAGCTTTAAGGGCGCGATTACCAGCTTCTCCTGCTGATAAGGATATAATGTCTTTCAAGTATTGTGGTCTCATGCCATCTMAACCAGGCGAAKAACCGGCAGGAAAAGAATTGATGGCTTCTCGGACATTYTGTTCATTTACTATTAAAGACTTGTCAACTTGTTGGAAAGCGTCTGGGAAAAAGAGTTCACGAGATGGAGAAGGRTGTTTTTTCTTAAGTTCTTCAGCCACATCTTCATCAAAAGAAGCTAGTGAGTTATCCGATGATAACAATTTAACAGCTCCTCTTATGTCGAAATCCGCTACTTTAGCTTCAATTTTCTTAGTCAATGATAAAGTTGAGCGTKTAAAAGAAGATGCAGGTATAGTAATATCTTCAAAGTTGGAGAGATTTTCTTTGATATGATTATTTAAAGATTTGTCAGATTTATCGATAATATTAAAAGCTTTATAAGAGAATAGTAGAAGATCCTCGAAAGAAGTAAAATTTCTGGTCGAAAGGCAATTATTAATGATGGAGCTTAATTTATCTGCGGCTAAATGTCTGGAGGCTTTTGGAATTCTTCTAAGAGTCGSTAGATGATATTTCAGTTTAATAAGCARTTTTGTTATGGAACTGGTTGAAGCAGATGAGGRAGTTGGTAAGTGAGAAGTGGCATGAAACTTATCTGAGTGTATATTCAACCTCTTAACATCTTTAAAAGATTTTCCAGGACACAAGATGCATTTCACTCTTTTGGTGTGTTCTTCATTATGGTAAAAATCACTGGAATGTTTGACTTCGGATTCTGAATAGTTGATCAATGACAATGAATGATCTAAAACTTCATTAGACGATGATTCTTCCGTTTTGGAAACAAAATACGAATTAAGATGAATTTTAGATCGATGAATTTTCAGTCCTCTTACGTTCTTAAAGGTTTTATTACAGTCTTCACAGCCAAAAATTAAATTTTTACAAGAGTTTATAGGATGACAAATCTTMATATTTTCAAATTCTTGTTGTAAATGATCAGATGACGCTTWCGAAGAGCCAGCGGCAGCAAGATCTTCATCACTAAATTTCCAGTGTCTTGTACGAGAAGAAAAACGTGTATCTTGAGGATATTTACATTTAAAATGACTATTTTCATCAAAAGAGTCATCAAAAGATGTTGACACTGACGTTGACATTTTTAATATTTTTCTTAGTTGTTTAAATAAAAAGTTTTTTATTTCACTACCCCCCACCCCCCGCCCCCCAGTTCAATCTTCTAGATCCGCCCTTGGTTTGTATGGTGCATTTAGGCTTACCTCTTATGTTGCCGTTAATATACGCTTTTCTATAAAATACGTCAATAACAACGTATTTTATAAGTTCATAACATACTCTTATCTTGGAATTTTGTCAATTTTAACATATTACTTTATAATAATTTCTGAATTTGGTATAATTTCTGATACAATATTAATGTTGCAAAAAATTTTGAAGACAACACAAGTTAATAGTTTACAAAACTCTTGGATCTTATAGCTATTAAGACAATAAGAGTTTTTAGACAGTTGTAAAAATCGAGGTCAGTTTAAATTCGAGCGATCGTTAGGGGGCGAGAATTTAAAAGACCGAGATTTTTAGACTATACCTAAAACTTGTCTTGTCTTTAAAAATTTTTGCAACACTAATATTAAACCAGAAATTTTACTAAATTTAGAAATTATTATAAAGAAGTATGTCAAAATAATGTCAAAATTGACAAAATTCCAAGATAAGAGTATGTTATGAACTTTTAAAATACGTTGTTATTGACGACGTATTTTATAGAAAAGCGTATATCAACGGCAACATAAGAGGCAAGCACCATAGAAACAGTACAGTCTGTCCCAAGTTTAAGGGCCGGTCTAAAAATAAATATTTCTAATTGATTAAAAAAATTAAATTAAAAAAAAACGATAGAGTATAGAGTATTAGTGTTGGAAAAATTGCTGTAAGACAAGAATAGTATATTAAAGTACAAGTTGTAGAAGGAAAGTCTGTTTTTTTTTTTAAATGGAAATTACCAAGTCAAAATTTTGGTGAAAACATTGGTAGCAGCTCCATAGCCACAAATTTTGTTTGCTCTTTGTTTTTGTCCCTAGAAATTTGGTTAAAAAATTATGGTTATGTGTTCAAACTGAAATGTTGTCAAAATTTTGACTTTTATGAATCTTGTGTGCCTGTTTGCTCTTTGAAAGCGCTATAATTGAATACCTGAAGACAGACATCATTACCTAAGGTCTAAAGACAGAATTCAGTGCTAATAATTTTGACAGAAACACACCGCAAGTAAGTACAATGTTGTGGACAAAAATTAGATTCTTGCTACAAAAACTTTGAAGAAAAAGGATGTATTTACAGAAAACAGTTATTTAGCAAAAGATATAAGTAGGTATTATGATGATTAGCAATAAATTTTGTGTAATTTATAACAATGATTTCAAAGCTGCTGCAATTTAGATATTTTTCTTCAGCTTTAGTTTCAAAATTGTTACTTTTTCAACTCGTTCCTCAAGAACGATGCACAAGATACTAATTTAATTGCGTTCTTTCCGTGGTTCTTTCTCATTCATGTTTATTTTGTATTCTTGTCAATTTTTACTAAAAATTGAGAATGTTTAGCAAACCTGCATTACAAATTGCGTCTACATTTTAACGAGCCCTTTTTCTAACTTCCTGCTTGCGAACGACTGGTTTCCAAAGTTTGAAAAACTGTTAGCGGTACCGAATTTGTTTCTTTTTTGCTGTTTCGTCTCTAAATTTTCTAAGACGATTTTTTGTGTTGACGTTTAATCACATTGTTTTCAAATTAATTTAAAAAAACGGAACTGCCAACTTCCTTTATTAAAATTACTATGAATAAATTTACTAGTGGTGCCAACGTTAAGACTGTTTGGAATTTCCATTTAAAAAAAAGACTTTTTCTATTTCGGTGTTAGAATAAGTCTATTCCAGCACCCAAATGACGTCATTTGAGTGCTGGAGTAAGTTGTTCGCGGTAATTAAGTTTAGTGACGGACTTTCTTCACAATTCATTTTCAAATGTGAAAATATTAATTATTTTTATTTTGTACAGCCGCCTAAAATTATTTCACATACCTAAATGTCGCCAATCGTCGCAAAATTCTCTAGAAAAAAAAATTGATTTTTAATTTATAAAATGATATAAAGCGGCAAATAGAAAAAATAGTATAAAGCATTTTTTGCAGAAGGTTCTTC